ATCAAACCTGCTACGTACTCTAGAAGGGGATAAAGTTCCTGTACTGCACATCAGAAACATTCTGGGGAAGACAGTCTGGGCTACTCCTGCCTCAGGAAAAGGCAAACCCATTCGTGGGATTGCTTTTGCCCAGGGACCTGGATGCACTTGGTGGGTAATGCAAAAGAATGAGGATGTCCGGTGTGTACCTCAAGGGGATTTAATACTGGGAGAGAATAGCCCATGAGTTGAATTGTATTATGTTAATTATTATATAATACTGCATGCCATCACCGTTGTGATTGCTATATGTCAATGTCCCATTAATGGTATCACAGTAACAGGCACGCAGGCAATGATGAATGAATTTTGATAGAATTGGACAAGCACAGTGGTGTGATGGAACGAGAACGGGCTTCAGTGTGCAACAATCCAACATCACACACCATCTCTTCTGCTCTAAAAAGACTGCTGTGACAGATGGAGCCCGAAGTCAGTCATGGACTACACAAACTCAGTGGACATTGTATATACATATCATTATTATTTTCCTTTCTTTTCTGTCCTAATAAACTGTCTCTATCTCAACTCACAGGCTTCATTTTCCTGATTCTCTCTCCCATCCCAGAGAGGGAGGGGGGAGGGTGAGTGAACAGCTGTGTGGTGCTTAGCTGCTGGCCGAGTTAAACCACAACATTTCCCTTAGTAAACTTTTTGCTGGGTTGAAAAGGAGCTAAATGCTCTTACTTCAAGAGGAACCTTAAAGTAGCCACCTTGAAGTGCTGTTTCACATCACTCATATCAAACTTCTCATATCCAACTTGGGCTGTTAATTGCTAATTAAACAGCTGGCAGAAGAAAAATAAGCAATGGGGAGCAGGCCCTTCTTTGAGAAGTTCCAGCCAGCCAGCACAGAAATTAACCATTTTCAGTAGCACATCTAGTTCAGAGAAGCCTCCTCTGTCCTGCCTGTTCAGTTTCCAAATCAGCCTGGCAAGGAAACCCACCTGTGTCAGGGCTGTACACCTGCTCCATTTCTGCAGAACTGGTCTGCCAAGGGGGACAACCAACCAACAGCTCTATTTTACTTTGCCCAAGGTCTGCACATTTAAAATGCAGGAAGACTTAAATAGAATCAAATAAATAGAATTAGAAGAAGCTGCAATAAATCACTTTGCCAAAACCCTCAGTATATGGCCTTTCTTAATATTTTTCAGCCAACATCAATTGCTTGAAAACTTGCCCACTTCTTTCAAAGTCCTTCTTTGGGCCCCAAGAAGGACTGGGGGAAGCAAGGGGGTTTGTTCTACAATGTCACTCGATTTCTCTTCCAGGAGACAAAGCACAAGAAATCACATGCAGTCTGATAGACTGGTTTACCTAAGAACCTGGTCCCGATGGTCATAAGAGGGGTTTGAAAGCTCTTCAAATTACACCCTTCTCCAGACTATTTTGGCAGAGCATAAAGCACTAGATTATGGGATACAGTGAAAAAGGAGTCTGGAATAGCCCTAAAATCAGCTGGTTATCAAATACTCCAAATGAACGATGTTCTGTTATTAATGCAACAGCGAGAAGAACCCAAACTGTTTCTGACACCAGGGATTCAAGTCACAGAAAAGCAGCTCCTTGATCTACTTGAGCTTGATAACCTGTGCTCATGATCAAAGGACTTCCAGTGGAGGACAGAATCACCTAAAGGAACTGCAGGAGACAAAGCCAGAGCTGGCCACTCAGAAGCTGTGCTCCCTTAAGACTCAAGCCTGCATTTCAGTGCCTTTCAAGAAGGCATGCAGTGCTTTCAGCCCATGCTTGCACACTGTTCCTACTTTTAGGGACTTTGTACACCATCTGGGAGCATGTCCATTCTGAATCGGGAGTGTCCATAACCAAATATTTCCACAAATAAAAGACATTCCATACAAATTCAGGTCTCTAAACAATTGTTTAATTTCAACTGGTTGTCTTCTCTAGTCATTTCTTCCTCTGCCAAAGTTGCAAAAAGTAAACCTGTGAGCTTCAAGAAATACTGTGAGGAAAAAGGGAATCACCCAGGCCAGAATCTTTAAACTAGGTAAGAAGGGGGATGGGGCTGAAGCAAGGATTGTTGGGGCTGTGCCAGGGGGAGCAATGGCAAGGCTGGAGGATAAGGTAAAGGCCCAGCTGAAGTGCATCTACACCAATGCACGCAGCATGGGTAACAAACAGGAGGAGCTGGAAGCCATCGTGCAGCGGGCAGGCTACGACTTGGTTGCCATCACGGAAACGTGGTGGGACCAGTCTCATGACTGGAGTGCTGCGATGCCTGGCTATAGGCTCTTCAGAAGGGACAGGCAGCACAGAAGGGGTGGCGGTGTGGCTCTCTATATTAGAGAGTCTTTCGATGTTGTAGAACTCGAGGCTAGGAATGACAAGATCGAGTCCCTTTGGGTTAGGATCGGCAGGGACAACAAGGCTAGTGTCCTGGTCGGGGTCTGCTATAGACCGCCGAACCAGGATGAGGAGACGGATGAGGAGTTCTACAGGCAGCTGACAGAAGTTGCGAATTCGTCGGCGCTTGTACTCGTGGGGGACTTCAACTTCCCTGACATATCCTGGAAGCACAACACAGCCCAGAGGAAGCAGTCTAGGAGGTTTCTGGAGAAAGTGGAAGATAGCTTCCTGACGCAGCTGATTAGTGAACCTACCAGGGGTGGTGCCCTGCTAGACCTTCTCTTCACAAACAGAGAAGGACTGGTGGAGGATGTGATTGTCGGGAGCTGTCTTGGGCAGAGTGACCACGAAATGGTGGAGTTCACTATTCTTGGCGGGGCCAGGAAGGAAACCAGTAAAACCACTGTATTGGACTTTCGGAGGGCTGACTTTGGGCTGCTCAGGACACTAGTTGGTGGAGTCCCATGGGAGGCGGTTCTGAAGGGCAGAGGGGTCCAGAAAGGCTGGGCGCTCTTTAAGAGGCAAATCCTAATGGCGCAGGAGCGGTCTGTCCCCATGTGCCCAAAGATGAGCCAGCGGGGAAGAAGACCAGCCTGGCTCAACAGAGAATTGTGGCTTGAGCTTAGGAGGAAAAAGAGGGTTTATAATCTTTGGAAAATTGGGCAGGCCACTAAGGAGGACTATAAGGATGTAGCGAGGCTGTGCAGGGACAAGATTAGGAAGGCCAAAGCTCATCTGGAGCTCAATCTGGCTACTGCTGTTAAAGATAACAAAAAACGCTTTTATAAATACATCAACACAAAAAGGAGGACTAGGGAGAATCTCCATCCTTTACTGGATGCGGGGGGAAACTTAGTTACAAGAGATGAGGAAAAGGCAGAGGTGCTTAATGCCTTCTTTGCCTCAGTCTTTAGTGGCAAAACCGGTTGCTCTCTGGATACCCAGTACCCAGAACTGGTGGAAGGGGACGGGGAGCAGGATGTGGCCCTCACCATCCACGAAGAACTGGTTGGTGACCTGCTACGGCACTTGGATGTGCACAAATCGATGGGGCCGGATGGGATCCACCCAAGGGTACTGAGAGAACTGGCAGAGGAGCTGGCCAAGCCACTATCCATCATTTATCAGCAGTCCTGGCTATCGGGGGAGGTCCCAGCTGACTGGCGACTAGCAAATGTGACGCCCATCTACAAGAAGGGCCGGAGGGCAGACCCGGGGAACTACAGGCCGGTCAGTTTGACCTCAGTACCAGGGAAGCTCATGGAGCAGATCCTCTTGGGAGTCATCATGCGGCACTTGAAGGGCAAGCAGGCGATCAGGCCCAGCCAGCATGGGTTTATGGAAGGCAGGTCCTGCTTGACGAACCTGATCTCCTTCTATGACAAAGTGACGCGCTGGGTGGAGGAGGGAAAGGCTGTGGATGTGGTCTACCTTGACTTCAGCAAGGCTTTTGACACCGTCTCCCACAGCATTCTCCTCAACAAACTGGCTGCTCTTGGCTTGGACTGGCGCACGCTTCGTTGGGTTAGAAACTGGCTGGATAGCCGGGCCCAAAGAGTTGTGGTGAATGGAGCCAAGTCCAGTTGGAGGCCAGTAACTAGTGGCGTCCCCCAGGGCTCGGTGCTGGGGCCGGTCCTCTTTAATATCTTCATCAATGATCTGGATGATGGCATTGAGTGCACCCTCAGTAAGTTTGCAGATGACACCAAGCTAGGTGCGTGTGTCGATCTGCTTGAGGGTAGGAAGGCTCTGCAGGAGGATCTGGATAGGTTGCACCGATGGGCTGAGGTCAACTGTATGAAGTTCAACAAGGCCAAGTGCCGGGTCCTGCACCTGGGGCGCAATAACCCCAAGCAGAACTACAGGCTGGGAGAGGAATGGTTGGAGAGCTGCCAGGCAGAGAAGGACCTGGGAGTGATGGTGGACAGTCGGCTGAATATGAGCCAGCAGTGTGCTCAGGTGGCCAAGAAGGCCAACGGCATCCTGGCTTGTATCAGAAACAGTGTGACCAGCAGGGCTAGGGAGGTGATCGTCCCCCTGTACTCGGCTCTGGTGAGGCCGCACCTCGAGTACTGTGTTCAGTTTTGGGCCCCTTGCTACAAGAAGGACATCGAGGTGCTTGAGCGGGTCCAGAGAAGGGCGACGAAGCTGGTGAGGGGCCTGGAGAGCAAGTCCTATGAGGAGCGGCTGAAGGAGCTGGGCTTGTTCAGCCTAGAGAAGAGGAGGCTCAGGGGTGACCTTATTGCTCTGTATAAGTACATTAAAGGAGGCTGTAGAGAGGTGGGGGTTGGCCTGTTCTCCCATGTGCCTGGTGACAGGACGAGGGGGAATGGGCTTAAGTTGCGCCAGGGGAGCTTTAGGTTAGATGTTAGGAAGAATTTCTTTACTGAAAGGGTTGTGAGGCACTGGAACGGGCTGCCCAGGGAGGTGGTGGAGTCACCATCCCTGGAGGTCTTTAAAAGACGTTTAGATGTAGAGCTTAGGGATATGGTTTAGTGGGGACTGTTAGTGTTAGGTTAGAGGTTGGACTCGATGATCTTGAGGTCTCTTCCAACCTAGAAATTCTGTGATTCTGTGATTCTGTGATTCTGTGAATCAGTGCAGCAGAGAAATCACAAGTTTATTTGCATCCAAAAAAACCTTAGATCCAATTTACTGGTAAAACATGCTTCAGTGGTAACTCCAAATCCAAAGTTATGATTTCTGAACTTGTGAGGGAAAATGTGTATGTAAACAGCACTGTGCAACATACTGGGACAGAAGTGTATTGAAGCTTTATAAAATCACCAGGCTTCTTCTCATGCAATCTTGCAGTAGGAGGATTGTGTCCTCCTTCCGTCGGCCACATGGGTTACTCTGATTTCCTTCTCTATCCTTTTCATACTCTGAGGATTTTTGTTACGGTCCTTGCCTATACTTCAACTTCTTGCAACTCTGCTGTCCGTTTCCAGCCACTGGGACCTTATTGTGGAAATAGGAAACAAGCATATTCAGAAGCCTTGGAAATTCAATAGAAAGAACTAGTTCTGTCAACATACCTATTTCTTGGCTTGCTACTTCCAAAACACACAGTTTCAAGTGATGATTTTTATTACGTCTCCTAGTAAGTCTATTTATTAATTTACAGAATCACAGAATTGAAGGGATTGGAAGGGACCTCGAAAGATCATTGGGTCCAACCCCCCTGCCAAAGCAGGTTCCTTAGAGCAGGCTGCCCAGGTAGGCATACAGACAGGCCTTAAATATCTCCAGAGAAGGAGACTCCACAACCTCCCTGGGCAGCCTGTTCCAGTGCTCCGTCACCCTCACCGTGAAGAAGGTCTTTCGCATGTTGGTACAGAACTTCCTGGGCTCTATCTTGTGACCATTACACCTTGTCCTGTCCCCGTAAACCACTGAAAAGAGGTTGGCCAAATCCCTCTGTCTCCCACACCTCAGGTATTTGTACACATTGATGAGATCCCCTCTCAGTCTTCTTTTCTCCAGGCTGAACAGACCCAGGTCTCTCAGCCTTTCCTCATAAGGAAGATGCTCCAGGCCCCGTATCATCTTTGTGGCCCTCCGCTGGACTCTTTCCAGGAGATCCCTGTCTTTTTTGTACCGGGGAGCCCAGAACTGGACACAGTACCCCAGGTGAGGCCTGACCAGGGCAGAGTAGAGGGGGAGGATCACCTCCCTTGACCTGCTGGCCACACTCCTTTTAATGCACGACAGGATGCCATTGGCCCTCTTGGCCACCAGGGCACACTGCTGGCTCATGGTCAACCTGTCGTCCACCAGGACCCCCAGATCCTTCTCCTCAGAGCTCCTCTCCAGCAGGTCGTCCCCCAGCCTGTACTGATAGATGCGGTTGTTCCTTCCCAGGTGCAGGACTCTACACTTGCTCTTGTTAAACCTCATTTGGTTTCTTCCTGACCAGCTCTCCAGCTGGTCCAGGTCTCGCTGAATGGCAGCACAGCCTTCTGGCATGTCAGCCACTCCTCCCAGCTTTGTGTCATCGGCGTACTTGCTGAGGGCGGACACTATTCCCTCATCAAGGTTGTTGATGAAGATGTTGAACAAGACCGGACCCAGCACCGACCCCTGGGGAACACCACTAGTCACAGGCCTCCAGCCGGACTCCACGCTGTCGATCACCACCCTCTGAGCTCGGCCAGTCAGCCAGTTCTCAACCCACCTCACTGTCCACTCCTCTATCCCACACTTTCTCAGCTTTGCTAGCAGGATGTCATGGGAGACAGTATCGAAAGCCTTGCTAAAGTCAAGGTACATCCACTGCTCTCCCCCCATCTACCCAGCTGGTGATGCCATCATAGAAGGCAATGTTGGTCGAGCACGACTTCCCCTTGGTGAATCCATGCTGAGTATGCCTCATAACCTTCTTCTCTTCCAATTACTTGGAGATGGCATCCAGAACAAGCTGTTCCAACACCTTTCCAGGGACAGAAGTAAGACTGACTGGCCTGTAGTTTCCCGGATCCTCCTTCTTGCCCTTCTGGAAGACCGGAGTGACATTGGCTATCCTCCAGTCTTCAGGCACCTCTCCTGTTCTCCAGGACCTTTCAAAGATGATAGAGAGCGATTCGGCAATCACCTCTCCCAACTCCCTCAGCACACGTGGATGCATACCATCGGGACTCAAGGATTTGTGTGCGTTGAGCTCACTCAGACGCTCCCGAACCACTCCCTTGTCAACAAGGGGGGAGATCTCCACTTCCCAGACTCTTTCTCCTCCCTCCAGGGTCAAGGAGTCCCGGGGGGGAGTCCTTGAAGCAAAGACTGAAGCAAAGAAAGCACTCAGTATCTCTGCCTTCTCAGTGTCTCCCATTACCAGGATACCCCCCTCATTCAGCAAGGGACCCACATTATCCCTAGTCTTCCTTTTACTGTTTACATACTTAAAAAAAAAAACTTCTTATTATCTTTTATCCCTTTTGTAAGCCTCATCTCTAGGTGGGCTTTAGCCTTCCTCGTTGCGTCCCTGCAGGCCCTGACAACACTTCTGTACTCCTCCCAAGAGGACAGGTGCTTTTTCTACATTTCATAGACCTTCCTCTTCCTTTTGAACCTGATTCCTTTGGATCCTTTTGAGCTCCTTGCTCATCCATGCAGTTTTCCTGCCCTCCTTCCCCAATTTCCTACTCTTAGGGATGCACTGATCCTGAGCTTGGAAGAAGTGCTGTTTAAATGTTGCCCAGCTCTCACATGCACCCTTGCCTTCTAGCAACCTAGCCCGTGAGATACTCCCAAGCAGGTCCCAGAAGAGGTCGAAGTTGGCTCTCCAAAGCTCCAGGGTAGCAAACCTTCTTTTAGCCTTACTTCTTCCACCAAGTTCCATCTTGAACTCCACCATCTCATGGTCGCTGCATCCCAAGCTTCCCCCAACCTTCACATCCCTAACAAGCCCATCCCTGTTGGTAAGGACAAGGTCCAGAAGCACCCCCCTCCTCGTCGGCTCCTCCACCACCTGTGTCAGAAAATTGTCTTCAACGCATTGTAGGAACCGTTTGGACTGCACATGCCTGACCAAGTTGCTTACCCAACAGATGTCTGGATAATTGAAGTCCCCCATGAGAACCAGTGCCCAGGATCATGAGGCTACTACCAGCTGCTTGTAGAAGGCCTCGTCGACCTCCTCCTCCTGATCTGGTGACCTGTGGTATACCCCCACAACAGTGTCCCCCATACCATCCCACCCCTTAATTCTCACCCACAAGCTCTCCACTTGTTCTTCACCCTCCCCCAGGTGGAGCTGGGTACTCTCTAATCCTGAGCTTGGAAGAAGTGCTGTTTAAATGTAGCCCAGCTCTCACATGCACCCTTGCCTTCTAGCAACCTAGCCCATGAAATTCCTTTTTTAGTTTTTAAAACCTTTTGTACCTTCCCTTACAGCATTGTCGAGAACACACCTCCTCTCTCGGTCTTCACTAGGATTTAATCTAGCACAGAGATTTAAGTACTTGCAGTGAGAATTTGGTTATCTTAAGGCCCATCTACCTAGTGGTAAGTGATCTTTCACGTTAATCCCTAGAGACATCATGCTTCAAGGCTTCACCTCTGAGCCTCATACAATGAGGCAATCTCCCCTCAAACCTGTGATTTGTAGCAGCAAGCACTTGCTCAGCACACCGCTGCTCCTGACAAAGCTTACAGCATTGAATTTGCTCTAGTGATCCATAAGCACTATTCTGAGGGATACACTAGTTGCCAGAATACTGCATTTCTCAAATAATACTGCATTTACTTAAGCCTTAAGAGAGATGAAAGAACAGTGGGAAGAGAAAGACTGTCACCAGTTTTAGAGCACATGGTGTCACAAAAACCTACAGTACACCAGCAAGAACACAGAACCACCGTGCACAGGACAGAAGCCGCCTTCCAAATCTCACATTTTAGAGCTAATTAGAAGATTTGGCTATACAGTTTCCATTAGAATTCATAAGTATTGGTGTCCAGATCTTAGGTTCTTTGGAAAAAAGTGCCCAAGTTCACTCAAATCTGAACTCCCACTCACAAAGCCACAACAGATGGCATCAAGTTAGGTGTCCCTGAAGTACTCTCAGAACTTGCTATAAGTTAGAAGCAACAAAGCTTCAAACTCCTGTCTCAGAGCTGTACAGCAACCGAAATCTGTAAATCTGAGATGGTCTTCAAAACTGCTTTTGGTATCCAAAAAGCAATCCTCCCACCCTCACAGGTAAGAAACCATGGAAGAAATCTTACAGTTAGCTCAAAAGGCATGCAGCTATGTATAACTATGAACAACAAGAGCTGAGAAGCTGAAAAAAGTCACCAGAATTGGTTTCAAATTCAGAGATGGGAGGGGAGCAGGGAGAAGAAGCCTGTGAGCAGTAGTCTGAGGTTCACAACTGTCAGCATGAAGACCTGTTGAGCTGATGATTTTGCCACATAAAAGAATTACTGTACATGATCTGTCCTATCTACACACCACACATTAAATGAAACTAAATACAAAGCCACGGGACATTTTAGAATCAACATTTGCCTCCACACCTCCACATCTCCCCCACGAACTCAGTTTTAATCCACCGTGTGTTTACCGTGGTCACTGTGCTTTGAGACAATTCTTCTTCTGTACAAACTGTTGACACAGCCAGGGAAGGCAGCCTGGTTGAAGAGGATAACGTTAATGTCTCCATGCCACTGTCCTCGTTTAAAGCAGACAGACCAACCACATGGTGTCCGTTCAGTTCGCTAGCTTTAGCCTGAGCACAGGCCTGCAAAGAGCTGAGAAAAGTGCTGTTGTGGAGACAGGTAGTGCTGTGAAAAGTGTTCATGAGCTTTGGTGATTTTTGATCACTCTCATCGGAGTCAAGTTTAGGAAAGGATAGGGATTTGATATTGCTCACTGAAGTGATAGGGGACAGGGACACTTTGGAAGACAAGGACATCTTTTCACAGTTTCCCAACTGCGGTAAAGTGATAAAGCCATTGGGTTTGTGAAGGGGCTTGAAGTCCAACGTGGCCCTTTCTATGGATGCCAGAACCTCCTGATCTTGCAACACAGACTCAGACCCTCCTTTGGGCAAACTGCTATCTAACAGCTGGGCAACAACCGGCCCAGTAGTACCGACATGGATTTCCAGAATGTTTTTTAACTCCTCCTTATCATCGATAGTTTTTAATTCCAGTTTGTCAAATGGGTCTTCTTCACTTTCAAAATCAGCTGGATTGAAGTCTGCTTTGGGGCGAGGTGGACTAAGAACTTTTTGCTTCACAGCACTGCTGTCGGCTGGTGTGGGAGTAAGAATGTTATTGTGCTGCAGACCAGCGAGGATGGGGTTAATAGGAGGAGGCATGGACTCAGGGCAAGGTCCCTCTGAGAACCCCAGTCTGTTGCTGTCCTCTGGGGCTGCTTTTGAGTTTCCTATTGCTTCTTCTGCCTTTCGTTCAGCTCCTTTCTGGACAGCTTGAATTTTTTTGATATCTTCAGCCCACTCGATTGTTTTCTTTTCCAGGGAGAAGTCATACTGATCGGTGGTAGAGAGGGAAAGAGGGAAAAAATAAAGACAAGTTATAAGAATCACAGCTACTACTTTACAGCAGAAGTAACACAAGTAACACAGAGCAAGAACTACATGAATCATCACAGACAGACAATTTTTCCCCAGCATCTCTTACAACCTATAGAATGGCAAAACCAGGAGACACCAGCAGTAGTTCGTTTTACCTCTTGCAGCAAAACCTGGCTATAGTCTGGATCAGAATCTCATATTTTGTGTCCATCCTACACTTAGTTTTGTTTAGAGCTACTGATGATCGCAAGATCAGTTTCACAACTCTCTCCCCCTCTTCCAACAAGAAAATAGATGCAGTCAGCGTGTGAGAAACAAAGTTGTGTTTTTGCAGTAGAAAACTAATTTTCTGTATTCCAAGGTAGTTGTGTAGTCATAATAAGGAGAAATGCTAAGTAGATAAGTGGACAGTAGGAGGCCTCACTGTTCCAAAATAAGGCAGAAGCTTGAGAAAAACAGGATGAGCAGTGTGAGAATGGTAAAAAAATAAAAAATAAAAAAAATCACAAGTTCTCAAAGCATAAGAAAGGAGAAATTAAAGGGTTGAAAAAAGAAGAAAAATTGTACATATATGGTATAGAGGAGCGTCGAGTAGGTTGTCAACCTGTAGTACTCAGCCAATGAGGAAACAGGGGACGTGATCAGGTGTCGGGTAGTATGGAATAAAAGGTTATGATTTGTTTACTAAAATGCACTCCTAATTGGCAGGACGCCCGCCATTGCAATCGCGAATAAAATAGCTTCACAGAAGATCCTGTCTGAAGAAAATTATTTGAGATGTTTCTCAAAATTTGGGGGCTCGTCCGGGATCTTGTCACCTACCGAAGAGTTCTTGCCACCACAGACAGGAAGGTGCACCCCGCTGATTTCAGCGGTCCCGTTTGGGGTGGTGGGTTGTCTTGGTATGGCCAGCAAAGGACCGAGACTGTTAGTCTGAAGACAGGCTTTGCGAAGCTCTGGGGAGAAGGGAGGCCAGCACAAACATACACAGACACAGCCCAGAGATAGTCCAGCCCAGATCGGGAACAGGCACAGGAATTACTACTGCTGATAACCCGGACCAGGAAGCCGTGCACAGACCGAGGTAAGGGAAACTTTTCTTGCCTCGAGTTGGGTATGGAGAGACTCTGGTATGAATGAGTGTGAGTGTGAATGAGACATACTTTTAGTGTGGAGCGAACGTGAAGTCCCGATCCGTGACGCTCGGTGGTCCTGCAAGGGGACGAACGAAGTCCCCTCGGCTGGAGAGGGACAAAGCGAAAGAGAGAGGAGAGGAGTGAAAGAGAGTCTCGGGGGTTTGGGCCCTTAGGTGTGCGGTACCTCGAGCACGGTGAAGTGAGGTGCTTGGTAGTACACCCCACCTCTGTCCTAATCCTAGGTGAAGGCGTGTGGTACCCTGTGGGTGGTAAAGTCCACAGCAGCACGTCAGTAAGAGCTGGGGATTAAGGGTTCCAAGAGTCAGCAGGGTGGGGTTGGAGACCCTGGGATTGTGCCTAAAGACAGTCCTTTGGAGAGAATGATAAGGATTTGGAAAAACAACCCAAAAACTAGGGAAAAAGATTTAAAAATATATATATAATTTAAAAATGGTTTGATATTGCGTAATTGTCTGGCCTAAAAAGCCAATAAAAGGAACTTGAGTATTTTGGTCAAAATACAGGTCTGATGAAAATTCAGGCTTGAAAATTATATATAAACAATAAGGTTCTGTTTTCAGAGGAGGAATCGAGTTACGCTCTCTATAATCCTATGTCGTGGTTTAACCCGGCCGGCAGCTAAACACCACGCAGCCGTTCGCTCACCCTCCCCCCTCCCTCTCTGGGACGGGGGAGAGAAATGGAAAGTGAAGCCCGTGAGTTGAGATAAAGACAGTTTAATAAGACAGGAAAATAATAATAACAAAATAATAATAACAATAATAACAATAATAATAATATGGTGATAATAGGGAAATAATAATAATATGTACAAACAAGTGATGCACAATGCAATTGCTCACCACTCGCTGACCGATGCCCAGCCTAACCCCGAGCAGTCCGGCCCCCTCCCCCCAGCTAGCCACCCCTATATATTGTTTAGCATGACGTCAGATGGTATGGAATACCCCTTTGGCTAGTTTGGGTCACCTGTCCCGGGTCTGTCCCCTCCCAGCTCTTACTGCACCCCCAGCCTGCCCGTTGGCAGGGCAGAGCAAAAGGCTGAGATGTCCTTGGCTTAGTATAAGCACTGCTCTGCAACAATTAAAGCATCGGGGTGTTATCAGCACTCTTCTCATCCTAAGCCAAAACACAGCATTCCACCAGCTACTAGGAAGAAAATTAATTCTGTTCTAACTGAAACCAGGACATCCTAATATTGCACCAGAGGCAGCGGCAGCTGCTCCAGGAGGGGACACAAGGACTGCAATTGACGCTGTCCCTGGAAAAGGAGCGCACTCTAGTTTCTGGCAAGAATTAGAACAAGGTAGAAGATATACTGAGAGTTTTGCCTTCTCTGATACTAACAGTACTAACACTAACTGTGTATCCTCTTAGGGAGGTTCCAGTGGGACAAGGACAAATACATTATGTGAACTCCCCCTGCTGTGGTTTAACCCAGTCTGCAGCTAAGCAGCAGGGACTGCAATTGATGCTGTGCCTGGAGAAGTCGCACCAGGGAGTGCGGAGCAGTGGGAGTGGGGGTGGGGGTGTGGGGGGGGGGGGGGGTGTGTGGAGGGGTGTCCCGGTGGGGCATGGCCCATGCGGGGCCAGTGCCACTCCTCCCTTACCAGGAGAGAGGTTAGGAGTTTTAAGAAGGAAATGAAGTCTTTAATTGAGGGCCTAGCAGAACAGTCAAATCCGTTTATAAGGCCTAGGCTTACACCAAGCCAAGGACGTTTCAGCTTCTTGCTCTGTCCTGCCAGCGGGCAGGCTATGGGTGCAGAAGGAGCTGGGAGGGGACAGACCTAGGACAGATGACCCAAACTGTCCAAAGGGATATTCCATACCATCTGACGTCATGATGAACAATATATAGGGGTGGCTGGCCAGGGCTGGGGGGGCCGGGCTGCTCGGAGATAGGCTGGGCATCGGTCAGTGGGTGGTGAGCAATTGCACTGTGCATCACTTGTTTCGTACACATTATTAGTAGTAGTACTATTATTATTATTATTATTATTATTATTTTCTATCTTAATAAACTGTCTTTATCTCAACTCACAGACTTCACTTTCCTGTTTCTCTCCCCCATCCCAGAGAGGGAGGGGGGAGGGTGAGCGAACAGCTGTGTGGTGTTTAGCTGCGAGACTCGGGGTCAGAATGAGAAAGTACTTGGAGATGAATCTTGAGGACCCAGTAGCCCAAAGGCTCTTGAAAGTTTGTTTTGTGATTAAAGCCTGGCCAGATATACAGAAAAAGCTCCAGAAGGTGGGAGGATGGAGTAAACAGCGTAGGTAGTATGAAGGTGTATGCCAGGAGGGAAGAAGAGAAGGAAAAGCAGAGAGCGAACACAGCATACTGGGTAGTGAGGCAGAGTTGGAGATAGAGGGACTTTTGGGAGAAATCAGGCTCAGGATGGAAAGGAGAGGAAGAGAGAAGGAATGGCAGATGAGGAAAGCTACCTGTGTTGCAGCCTTAATCCTAGCAAGGACAGGCTTTTTGAGAAGATATTTTAAGTGTGGCCAGGCCGGTGTGGTGGTTTTACCATGCTAGGCAGCTAAATACCACAACCACTCTCTCATTCCCCCTCCTTAGATGAGGAGGGGAAGAAGTAAAGTAAAGAACAACTCACAGGTTGAGATAAGGATAATTTAATTAAAGGGAAAAAATTATTAAGGAAATATTATTATTAACTAAAGAATTTAACTAAAGGGAAAAAAAAAAGGGAAAGTGGAAAATGGAGGGCAAAAGGGAAAAAAAAAAATAAAGGCTATATGGAAGTGCAGAGGAAAGAAATTACTCTCTACTTCCCACAAATGAGCGATGATTGACCACGTCCTTGAAGCAGGGCCTCAACGCATGTAGCTGGTGTTCAGGAGGAGGACCGATGATTTCACAACGAGAGCCCACCGCTCCCCTCTTCTTCCTGTTTCCACCTTTTATTGCTGAGTGTGACATCGTATGGTATGGAATATCCCTTTGGTTGGTTTAGGTCAGCTGCCCTGGAGATGTTTCTCTTCTCACTTTTTTGCCCACCCCCTAGGAGGGTTAGAGAGAGTCCTGATGTTGTGCCAGCACTGCTCAGCAGCAGACACAACCCTGGTGTGATACCATTGCTGTTCTAGCTACAAGTGCAGAGCACAACACTGTATGGGCTGCTGCAGGGAAAGTTAACATCCCAGCCAGACCCAGTACAGCCGGCCACTTCAAATAGGAGTATCTGGAGTGGAAGAAGGAGGAAAGACTGCTGTTATAAATTCAGAATAGGGGAATCGGGGCTTCTCGGAAAGCTAGTTCCCTGATAAAGGAAAAAGTGTACCTCAAGGGCTCCTCAAGTGTACCTCAATGGGGATCACTCTACAATTAACATTAGAGGCAAAACACACTTTGCAGAGGAAGATTAATAAAATTTATTATCTATTGCTGACGGGCTGGAGCAGTGAGAAACAGAGAAACAATCTGGGGGCACCTTCCCCCATCCACTCTCTTCCACCTCTTCCCTGCCCTGAGTGGCACAGGGGGCCAGGCGTGGGGGCTGCAGTCGGCCCATGGTGCTTTGTTTCCACCACTCCGTCCCCCTTGCTCTGGTGTGGGGTCCCTCTCGTGGTGTGCTGACCTTCCTGGGCTGGTCCTGTGTGAGTTTCTCCATGGGCAGCGAGAAACGGGCTCTTTGGGAGCTGCTCCAGGTGTGGGTCTGTGCCGTGGGGTCTATTTGTCAGGAGTGAGTTGGTCCAGCTTGGGACCCCCTGGGGTCCACCCTAACACCCCACCCACATCACCTGCTCCTGAATGGGCTCCTTTCCACGGGCTGCAGCATGGACATCTGCTCTGCCGTGGTACACCATGGGCTGTGGGAGGGGGTCATCCTTCCCCACTAGGGGCCTCTCTGTGGGCCGCGGGGGGGGGTTTCGGCTCCGGCACCTGGAGCACCTTTGCACTGCACTCCCCCCTCCTCTGCACTGACCTTGGTGTCTGCTGGGAGGTTCCTCACTCTCCCAGCTGCTGTTGTGCAGCAGTTCTCTTTTCCTTTTCTTTGATGTGCTCTCATAGAGATTTAAACTGCATTTCACCCTCTGCCCCCTCCCCAAATCACCTGCTCCTGCAGGAGCTCCTCTCCATGCACTGCAGCATGGACATCTGCTCAGCCGTGGTACACCATAGTCTTGGGGGGGGGGAAACACACGATAGCCTGCTCCACCAGGGGCCTCTCCGTGGGCTGCAGGGGGGCTTCAGCTCC